TATAACTTGGGGGTGGGAGTTTCGAACCTCAACCTTATGGCTGAGGAATGCACATTATGATAGGCAGAGTCCTTGGGCTACGAGGCCCAGGTGCAAGTTGAGTGACATGTTTTGATCACGAATAATAGTAGATTTAGAGTTGTTACGAGGAATTGTGGCTGTAATTGCAATGGTGGAGTAGTAATCGACTTTTTAAGAAAAAAATTGCTCCATGTTAATTAATGTTTTAGGAAACTAAAGCTCCATTATTATTTTTCTTTTTAATTTTATCCTCCATTAGCAATGGGAGAAAATTTTAGAAGGGTAGAACAATATGATATGTTAGCTGCACTCAGATAATGATTGATGCAGGTATTTAAAAAAAAAAAAAAAAACGAAAAAGGGGGGAAGAAAGACTAATGAGGTCTTGAGTACACGTAACACTCATATTTTGAATTTAATTATCTCTAAAATTAAGAATAGTTAAATAGTTTTCTTAATTTTGCCAAAAAATATTGTTTTCCCCAATTCTGGTGCTTTCTCCTTAAACATTAATGGTTTTTTAACCTGTAAGAGTCCATTAATTGTTATGGAAATATAGAAATTGATTTTAATTTTATCAATACTTTAATTAGAATTATTCCTGTGAATTAGTGTTGAAAATTAATTTAATTTTTATATATTTTATATAAATTAATGAGTAAATGATCTCATTAATACATCTTTAATATGTTTCTCAAAATATATGTTTAAAAAATTTAACATTAATTAATATATAAAAATGTTATGCTTGCAATAATTCATGTATTGTTTCTACCTCCAATTAATAATTTGTTAATACCCATGCATGTTGTAATAGTATTATTTTTTTCACCTTTTTTTATTATATATGTTATACGTATTATCTTCATTTTTAGGTGTCATATTTATGTATAGCACAATAAAAGAGGGATTTAACCCTTAAAGGGGTGATTTAATTAGTTAAGAATTTAATATTCTAAATTGAAAATTTTATATTCAAATTTTGAGTCAAATGAAAAAATGTTTGAGAAAAGAAAAAGGTTATCATCTTTTATATAACCTATTATTAAATGTACCAAAAAATAAATAAAAGAAGGATTTAACAAAATGTTCAAAAAACAATAATTATTAATCTTTTGAATTTCATTTTCTTCCTTACATTTTGCAATAAAATTTATTAAAAACATTTGAATTGGGATTTTTTTTAATAGTAAGTAAGACAATTAAAAATCAACGAAAATTATACTCTCTCTGTTCAATTGTAATATGTTTAATTTGATTTTTTTTTTAATTTTGTAGACATTAAGTTAGTATGAAAATTTAACATAGTATAAATAAGTTGAAAAGTTTTTTATCAAATGAAACCATTCAATAAGAACTACATATAGGAAAAAGAGAATTTTTAATTGTGATTCATATTTTTTTGTTAAATTTTTATTTAAAATTAATATAAAAAATTAAAAAGTCAAAATATGCCTATTAAAGTTAGAGATTTAGTATAAATGAGGATATATCCTTTAAACACTTTTTTAATTAATGGATATGACATACTTTCATTACTAATTTAACACATTTCAAAAGTTTTTAATTAAATATATGATTTTCGTAATTTTATTAATTAAGGTTATCATCTTTCAAATATATATATTTAATTAATTTTTTTTAAGTTACTCTTATTTATATGAAATCTCATTAAAAGGTTTTGTTTAAGAGCACTTATAAGCGTTTTAACTTTTGATTTTTTTTTAATGTTTTTATCATTTTAAAAATATGTAAAATAACAATTAAAATAAATATTAGAGGTTAATATGTATGAGTCTCAACTTCAAAAAATAATTAGAGTCCCAACTTTTATTTAAAAACTTAAATCTTATCCTATTAAATGTTAAAATTTAAATTGGTACAAATACAAATGCATCTCTTTGATATCTATCCTCGAGAAGGAGAAAATGATACTGTAAGTTTGGTGCCTTCTACATCTAGTAGCTTCAAGATCGGACAAACTTGACATTGGTTGTGAAGGAGACAAGACAGGAAAATATGGCATCGATTGGTTTGGTTTTCCCAAGCTATTCCTAAACATAGCTTCATTAGTTGGCTAGTTGTGCTTAATCGACTAAGCACAAGGGCAAGGCAGAAGCAATGGACCCTCACAATTTCTGATACTTGCCTCCTTTGCAATGGCAGTCTAGAAACAAATGAGCACCTCTTTTTTAAGTGTAGCTACACAAGACAAATATGGCAACAGCTTAGCTCTATGCTTGGTATCCCGTTTGTTGACTCTTGGCAAGTTTTATTACAATGGATGGGTAAAAAACTTAGAAGGAAGTCTTTACACAATCTGTTAATCAAATGGACAATTATACATACACCTAAACAATCAACACTTATCTCAACACCCAAGGCTTATAAATAGTAAAATTACAAATTTACCCTTCCTCATTTTAGCTTTGAGTGTTGAGATGGGTGTTGATTGTTTGGGTGTATGTATAATTATCCTAATCAAATTAGCTTGGAATGCAGCAGTCTACCACACATGGTTGGAAAGAAACAGAAGATTTCACCAACAACCTTTTAAAGTAGAGAGTATAATTGTTCAAGACATTCAATTTGAGATAAATTTTTAACATTTAATAAGATAATTTTTTAAAGGAAAAACCCTTTTTAAGCCCCTAAACTTACCCCAAAATAGTATTTAAGCCTCTAAACTAAAAATAAAATAAATAATCCCTCAAACTCCACTAACAATGCAAATAAGTCATTCTCACAAAAAAAAAATCAAACGGTTATTTTATGTTTAATATCATCTTGAAAGCACAATACCCATGAATGAAAATGGTTTATTTGCATCATTAATGTAGTTGAATAACTTATTTGTTTCATTTTTAATTTAAAAGCTTAAATACTATTTTTGAGGTAAGTTCGAAATGCTTAAGAAGGGTTTTTACTTCTTCTTCTTTTTTTTTTTTTTGAATTATGTTTTAATTAAATAAAGTGACATATTTTAAAATTAAGACTCCAATTATTTTTAAGAATTCGATTTATATGCACTTTTCCTTAAATATTAATTATATTTTATATATTTTTAAAATATTAAAAAAAAAAGTATTTACAGCTACGTACGGTTATACTCCAGGTAAAGCACTCCAAGACCATGGCTAAACAGAAAGGAGTACTATATTTTCTTTAGTGCCTATGTACTTCCTTCACCAAAATAAATTAAATTGAAAAAAAAATGGAAAGAAAATCCCAATTGGGCAATTGGCTTTTCGGCTTTTCGGCTTTTCGGCTTTTCGCTCCGGAGTTGATCCGACGACCGTTCACAGCTTTCTACCTCCCTCCGACCAACAAAGATGAAACGGAGACCTAAGAGACTTGAACGGACCTTTTGGCGGCGTGGCCTCCACTTGATTGATCACTACTCGTCGATTTCGAAGATTCGTACCGAACCCGCCCTAGTAAAAGTCGGAGGAGTTAAGGCAGACCCCCATCCGTCCGGTCGCTCAATCCGCCCGTAGCGTCCTCCACTCCGACTCCTATAACCTCTCCTTGAACTCCCTGCCCTTGGAAGTGCCACGCAACTCGTCGTCCGGTTCAGTTTCGAGCTCATGATCAGTTCCTTCCGTGCCTCTGCTGGTAACCTTAGCGTGAACCGCTCACAATTTTCACTCCGTTGAATCAGAGAGTGACCCGTTGAGTGAGACCGCGGAAACAACCTGGGTAGCCTGCATCCCGCTGATCTAGATCTCGGAGGTCTGTTCTCAGTCACCACCCCCGTTTTGGTAATTGTCAAATTTACGTCGGAAGATTCTACTACATTAATTCTCGTTTCAGTACTTTCTGGTTGGTTTCCGGCTTCGGTATCTGAGTCAATGATCTCCGTTTCGGAGACGAATTCGATGCGCGGTTTCGGAACCAAATCAGCGCGGCAGACGGGACAGGTTGAATGAGAATTGAGCCAGACATCGATGCAATCGATATGGAAGACGTGGCTGCACTCCGGAATCAAACGCAGCATTTCAACGTCCTCAAACTCGTTCAAGCACACGGCGCACTCGAGCGCTCCTTTCCCAATCTTGAGACTCTTCACCGCCGAGTACCGAAAGGTGGGGAAAGACTCGATCACCTCCAGGTCAAGTCCACGTGCAGCCCTCAAAGACAACTGGCCGAACCTGAAGGAACCGTCAAAATGTCCCCCAAGCATACCCCGCGGGAGCGCGCACGTCCGGATGCAAACAGAAAACAACCCCATGCAGAAGAACGCGCAGACCAAAATCACCACGACGATCACCATGGATGGATTGATATTCGAGCCGGGTGGCGGCGGTGGTACTGGCACTGTTTGCACGTCCCCCGCAACATTCGGTAAGCCATAGGAAAAGAAACAGAGCAGTACCCATGAAAGCCCATCTTTCAGATTACAGAGCGTCATCACTTACCGTATGAAATTTCGTCGATTCTTCGTGAGTTATGAAGAAGCAAGAGTGATATTTTAGCAGGGGACGATGATCTTTTTTTTTTTTTTGGTTGCTCAAAAGCAAAGTTTAGAGATGTTGTTTTGTTTCTCTAGGTAATATAGGCACTTAGGCATGGACGGAACCAGGAAATTATATTAGGCAGCAGAAATTTTTTGTTTGATATTTATGTTCTCCAGTATTTTTCTTTTCTTTTCTTTTCTTTTTTTTTTGAACTGATTGTCAAGCATTTTTCAATGCAGTTAGCCAGTTATTTACTCTTCTTCTCATTTTTTTTCCTTTAAAAAAATATTCGATTGTAACTATCTTCTCAAAAGCAAATTTTTACGATTTTTTAAAAATATATATGAATCTACTGACTTGGCAAAAAATCATAATTATAAACTTGGATTGTGAAAGGCAAAAACACAACTCAATGCCAAGAGAAAATGTGAAATTATTGACAATGTGTATTTATTGTATATATTCATTATTAATTTACATAAAAAAATATAAGTTAATTTTAATTTTATTAACCATTCAATTAAATCGTTTTATGTGATATTGATGTTGAAAATAAAGTTTATTTTCATAATTTTTCATACAAATTAATGGTGAAATTGTGCAATGAATATATCCTTAAAGGTATAGGTAAAACAAAAAAAAAAAAAAACCCTTTAAAAAGGAAAGAAATATCAAAGAAAGCTTTAAATTTGTTATCAAGATTCAAAATTTATCTTGCATTTAGTTAAGAGATCTTTAAAAAATCACAATGTCTGATTAATCAAATCTGAATAAGGTTCATAATACTTACCTTTGGTAAACACTTTATCTTAAGGTTAAATGTCAACTTTAGTTTTTAAACTTTTAATTTTGAACAATTTGTTTTTGAACTATGTTTTGTACTTTTATCATTCTTCAATTATAAAAAAATGTTCTTTTTTTGTCATTTTTTCAATTTTTTCCATGTAGCTAGAATTTTTTTAATAATTTCCTTTAATGATTTAAATGTGCATAAAACAAAAGTTTAAAAACTAAAAATATGAAACAAATATTAGTTTAGAAATAAAAAATATGCATAAACAAAATTTTCAAGCCCAAAAAAATGCTTGTTGTTGTATAAATTTAACAGATAAACTGACAAAAGAACAAAAAGAAGTATATTTTTTGTAGCTGAGGAATGAAAAATGTAAAAAAAAATAATATAGGGACTAAAATTATTTAAAATTGAAAGTTGAGGGATTAAATTAGTATTTAACCTTATCTAAATCCTGAATCCTTTTTTCAAATAATCCTTATAATTCAAATTATCAAAAGACAAAATTATCTAATAAATAAAATTTAAAGGATCTTATTTAATATTTTTCAAAAGTTATAGCGGGGTGGCTACCCCCTTATCAATTGCTAGCTCCTTCCTGAATATAGAAGAAGAAAAGAACGGACAGCGTGGAGATTTAATAGGAGAGAAAAATAAGTATTGGTTTGCACTTTGTAGGCTTGAATATCAGAAGATGGACCCTAAAAAATAAAAATGGTGGGTTTACGAGTTTTG